TTTTATTTGTCCGAAACAACATTTTGCCAAATTAATTGAAATTCCATATTCATTAAACTTTTTAAAAATTATTTCGAAATGTTGCCTGTGTTGAACTTCGTTGTCACTAGCGATAAGTAAGTCGTCTAAATAACAAAAGACAAAATCAAGCCCTTGTAAAATGGAATCCATAAAGCGCTGGAAGGTTTGCGCTGAACCCCTTAAACCGAAGGTCATTCGGGGAAACTCGAAAAGCCCAAATCACGTCGGGGTCACTAATTTAGGAGCTGACTCCATATGGTGTTATGATAGCGGTTTTCTCCACGTCACCTAGCGCGACAGGTATAAAATGATAACTTCTATTAATATCTAATTTCGAAAATATATTTTTATCCGGGAGAATAAAAGTAAAGTCATTCAAGCGAGGAATCGGGTATCTGTCGGGCTTTGTTATCGCATTCAGCTGGCGATAGTCCCCACAAGGTCTTATATCTCCATTTTTCTTAGGAACTACATGGAGTGGACTAGCCCACGCGCTCTTCGAAGGACGACAGATGCCCAGTTCCTGCATGATGCGAAATTCTTCTTTAACTTTTTTATATCTGTCGGGTGGCAACGGGCTCGCTTTCACGTGCACGGGGGGACCAGAGGTCTCGATATGGTGGACGACAAAACACGCGTCATTCCGAGAAACTGCGAAACACGAGTTTCGCAGTTTCTCGGAATGACGCCGGTTTAGTAATGTCCGATCAATAGTTTTAACACTAGGTTGGGATACCTTGACAACAGATACCGAAACTTACAATTCTGTGGTTTTATCTATTAATTTACGCGCGTTTAAATCAACTAGTAACCTGTGATACGCTAAAAAATCTGCGCCCAAAATTGGTTGTTTGACATCTGCTACCACGAATTCCCAAAGATAAGGTCGACGTAAGTTTAAATTTAACACTAGTGTCTTGGTACCATAAGTTACGATTTCACTACCGTTAGCTGCTTATAATTTATATTCACTGCACTGGTTTGCACGGTCTTTTCTCACAGCTGGTAAAACAGACACATTGGCACCTGTGTCGACTAAAAATCTAAGCCCAGAGTTAATATCTGACACACACAAACGATTAAATGGAATAATGGTACAGACCTCAAGATCCTCGGACTGTACCTCGCCGCTCAGTTTTCCGGCAGCTTATGTTTCCACGCGCACGGCTCCGTACACTTGTTGGCTTTTTCCTTGAATCGGTAGTGGTAGAAGCACAAGTAGTTCTCCTTCTTGGGACGGCGGAAACCGCTACGGCGCCGGGACTGCGAACAATGACGGGTGCGATCAGGGGCACGAGACCGCGACCTCTGCTGATCGATCTGGTTCACGGTAGCCTTTATTTTAGCCACCTCAGCCCTTAACAGGGCCAAGTCAAGGGCAGCAGAAGATGCCGGCGCTGGCGCAGCGTAGGTAGTGGCGGCGGCATAAGAAGGCCGCACAGCCTCCATGACGTTATCTGCGACTGCTGCTAGGTTGTCTAAGTCCTTGGAGTCAGACACGGTGAGCACGGCTCGCACCTGTGTCGGAAGACGATTCTGCCACAGCACGCGAAGAGTTTCATCAGGAACCTTATCAGTAGCGAGCTCGCGCATCCGACGGAGCAGCTGGGATGGTTTCTGCTCGCCCAGCTCTAGCTCGCTCATAAGCTTCTCAATCTGCCTCGACATTGACTCCTCATAGATGTGGAGCAATCGAGCTTTAAGTGCGTCGTACTTGTGGGTAGGAGGTGGATTTAGTAATATGTCTGTCACTTGCACGATGACCTCCTTACTCAGCTTGGACACGACCAGGTCAAACTTCGCCTCATCGCTCATCCTCTGCGGTGTGAGGATAGCTTCTGTGCGTACGAACCACACGCGCGGCTGATCCGTCCAAAAGTCCGACAGCCGGGACTGTAGAGACACTGAATCTACATCTGGCGCCATAATGGGCGGTGGCGCGGGCGGCTGGATGTCCTGGACGAGTGGCATGTTAACAAGCGGCACGTTTTGTGGCGGTGGCGGAAGCGGCACATTCATGTTACTATTATGAATTGTTCGTCCGATCACAACACACGCGAAAATTGCCCACTACTGTGTTAATATCACGTCGGGCTTAATATCACGTCGGGGTCACCAATTTAGGAGTTGACTCCATATGCGTCTCTACGGGTGACCATAATGAAAGATTGCATAACTTTATGACATATTTATTGTAGAGGAGCGTGTAATACAGTTGACGGGCAACTAGCTACTGTCTGACTGAACGAAAATCTTAGTACTAAATAGAGAGGTACAATATTATTAAGTATACATATATATGGTAGCTAGGTACAACATTACTAATTATACATGTGTGTGCGCAGCACACCTACATTTCTAAAAGTAAATTTAAATTTACAGAGTTAAAAATGTGCAAAAATTAAAGAGCCAAACCACTGAGGCATTATTTTTTTCAGTCCCAACTAGCGACATCTGGTGAGTGGAAGATTACTAGCCTTCAAATGGAAAGAATGAAGAAGCCAGTGTACACCAACGATTTTGTTTATACAAGTGGTAAAATTACAATTTTGTACAACCGACTTCAATATAAATGAAATGAGAACATCATCAATGTGTAGTCGAAGTTAATTAAATACGCATTATTAAAGATAACTCAAAAACTACTGGTCAGATCTTGATCAAATTTATATGGGACAACATGAGAAGTACCAGCTTTCGAATAAAAATCATCAAAATCGTTTCATCTAGAAAAAAGTTCTAAAGTAACACACATAAAAATACAGTCGAATTGAGAACATCCTCCTCTTTTTTAATTCGGTTGAAAACATATCTCCGGCTCGAATTCGAACTCTTAACCAGGGCCGAATTAACCTTTAGGCAGAGTAGGCAACTGCCTAGGGGCCCCGCATCGGGTAGGTTCCCCGTGCGCGCACAAATATAATGAGAAAATTTTATTGTTAAATTTGTAACCTCAGTGACAATAGGTATTATTACGTATTAGCGACGCATACTGTCAGTTGATGAAATACTTCATACTTACAGAACAAAACCATCTAGTATCGAGTAGTAGAACTAATAATATGAATATGTTACATCCCTTTTATGCTGGCTGCATAGGGGTCCCGAGAATTCCATTGCCTAAGGGCCCCGACATGGTTAATCCGGCCCTGCTCTTAACCCCTATTCTGTAATTGAATAATGTGTGCGCAAGTGCTTACGCCATTCATTACAACCTATAAAAATGCACAGCTGAACATAGACCTCCCCCATAGCTAGTTTTGTATGGTGATTTAGCCATAGTCGCCCCGCATGGCAGGCGTATTGGCAACCACAGTTTCTTATTATTTTGTGTTGTTATCACGAAGATGCTGCTGCCCGTCTCCTGTTTCATTTTCCCTCCGTCGTCTCTTACAGCACCCGCTGAACGACATGGGTAGTGGATATTCTTACACACTTGCCACTATACGTCACAAACTATCAAAAGCGGGTGCCAGCTTACCGCATGGCAACGACGGCAAACATCGATGGATTCTGTTTTTTTTTTTTAAAGTCAAGTAACAAACGAACTTGCAAGCCACCTGGTGGGAAATGACTATTGCAAACCATGGACACCTGCAACCTACTTCAAAGTAGGCTATAGATATAACCTCTGAGGACTACGAGATGCCCGACAGTCTGTAACTACGAGTATACTGACTCTCTATATCCTTTAAACTGGAACACAGCTGTGTAAGCAGCTATTTGTTGGTAGAAACAGGTAAAAGGGACATCAAAAAAACGAGCACTTTGAAACTTTTAAATGGATGCCCTCTTTCACAATTGTATTTTATTTATCGGCTCCGCGGCACTGGCTTAGCGTTAAGTTGCAACGCTAAGGGCCGCGGGTTCAAAGCCCGCACGGAACAAGTATTTGTATGACCCCACAATACAACAGAAAATGTGTAAATACGTGGAGTATACCTTTTCTAAAAAGAAAAAAAATAGATTGCAGGATAGGAGGAGGAAGTTCATAATTTTACTGTGTGTATTTTCTTCTTCATATACGTCAACTGAGACCCGATTTTGAGAATCTTTTTTTTATTAAATAGGTTTACTTCACATATAAATTTGGAGAAAAACTTCGTCCATAAGGGTGGCAAAATATGGGGAGAAATCTTTAACACATAACTTAAATGTGAATTTGTTGAAAGAATTCCGTAATTTTAATTTAGAGGCAAGTGCATAACCCCAGATCCACCACGGCTCTCAATCTCAGTAGACTTTTATCAAATAATTAGTTTCTGCTCGAGTGGAAACAGAAACGTCTTCATGTTAATTTTTCGCAATAATTTATATATACAAGGCGTTATCTATCTGAGTACCCAGCTTCATCCAAATCACTTAAAAAAAACCTTCAGAAAATAAATAAAATGACACTTGTACAGTCCGGAAATATATTCTGCACGAGACACCTACTGTTTTACTAATTCAGGTTTTTATTGTCATTTCTTCGCTTTTTTAAACTTTCCCGTTGGGAAGATTTGTCTAAAAAACCTTTGACACTACTTCCCTTCGTCGGTCTAGAATCTACATGCTTTTTTTGTCTGGGATACACGAGATGTTTATACCGCCACCTATCGCAAACCATGAGAGTTTTTTGCATTACACATAGTCGCCTCTAACGTCACGAAATAGGGTGATTGAGTGAGAGTGATGTTACAAATAAAAAATACACAGCTACACATAAGACATAGATTGCCTCATAGTTGCCACGCGTACCATGGATTTCTATTTGCCATAGTTGCTTGGAAGGCGGGTTACGAGTAGCAACCGCAGTCTTTTATTTTTTGGTTATAATTAGGACGGCGCTGCTGCCCATCTCCTTTGTTTCCCTCTGTCGCCTGTTACGACACCCGCAGGATAATATAGGGTAGTGGATATTCTTACACAGCCACTACACGGCACTTTTCATCAATAAAGGGTAAAGAAATAAATAAAACTGATTCGTTTTTCTATTTTTATTTATGAGCAAATAAAGCTAAACATCTTGGCGATATTCTTTCATTGACTATCTTCTTACATGCAGTATTCAATAACCCTTTTTCTCTTAAATATACAATTCTATCGAGTAAAATGAAATTTTCAATGAGTGGTTGCAAATAATTTTGAAGTAAAATAAAAATGGCTGCCTTTTTAAAAGTAGTTTGTGACAGTTCCCGCCAAATTGACATTAATTCTTCAAATACAATCTTTTGATTGAATGATTTTATTTGATGGCTTGCTTCATTGGATATATTCGTGTCGGATTTATTTGGAGAACTGACGTTGATGAACAAAAATCCCTCAGTACAGGCGTCTTGTGCATAGCTTTCAAAATCGTTTTGAATTGTTTTAACTTTGACTGCTTTACGTTTTTTTCTCTTTAATTTATAGTTATCTGTAACAAAGACATGTTTTTAACACGTACACGTAGACATAAACTCACAAAAGCACACAATGAGGGCTAATAATCTGACGCCCACCAGATGCCGCTAGTTGGTGAACTTATTTGTCACCCAGACGGTCACACAGTGTATCATCATTGAAAAGTTGCGATTTAATTGTAAGTAGTACTATTCTGTAGCTGTATTCTATAAATTTTTACACATTTTAAACTTTTTTTTACATTCTTCTAGTTTTAAAAATATCCGTAGTTTATCCATTTCTAATCGAATTAATATAAAATACATCGAATATTTCATAAAGAAATATTAATCTCTACACTTGTAACAATTTCACCTAATTGCTAAATGGCGCCACTGTGGTGACAGAAAAATTCGTGGATGCACTCTTTAATGGATAGTTAGTTCTTTTGCTTCATTAGCTGAATACCAGCGTAATAATACTATCAGGTGGACTGTAAGCTCGTTTGTCACCATTTTAATATAAACATAAAATATTGAATATAACTATTTTACGGATTTTATCGCGTTTACAGCAACCCATGGTCATGGTCATGGGACTGAGATGTTTGACGTCCCGATGTCACATTTAGCCCGGCTACCTTCAGTTTTTGAATTTTAATTTTTGGTTCGATCTATGCAGAATGAGCTTACAGTATCTTGAAGTCTTGCAGTAGGTATGCTTGGGTTTGGATTTAATTTTGTTAATTATAGGATCCCAAGAAGATGGCAGCATCCATCCATCTTCTCTATTGAAATTGGGATGTTTACTTTAAATTTCAATAGCCTCGCGTATTATTCTTGGTAGGAATCGGTGTTCTTTTGCGAGGGTTTGTGGTCTATCAAATCTGATATAACGATTTTGAAAATGTTCAGACACTGCAGACCTCCCAGAGCGTCGGTAAAAAATAAAATAGATCATCAGGTCCATCCCCGGTCTAGCAGACCCATTCGTGCTAAAACTATACCACAAATATAGCTGCAGCATAGCTTTACCACGTAAAAATATTATATATATATGTCGTGGTTCTGTTCGTTGTTGTAATTCTCTAGTGCAGGCAAGGAGGCTTGGAGTTGCTGAGAGACTGCCCTGTGTTACATTGAGATAGGTAGTGTAGCTGTTGGTTTACATATCATGTAATTACGTACCTCACGTTACACTTGCTGCGTGATTGTGGCGGAGACGTGTTACGGTGGTCGAACTGTAATTGCTCTATACTTAATGTATAGTGCGTTTATGCTGTCTTACTGATAATGACTAACTGCGTAAGCAAGGGAGCAAGTTGAACATCCGCTCTCACATTTTTATTATTTTTAACAATTAACGCTATCCTGGTGTATTTCCGAGATCAAAATTAGGGATACTTTGTTGTAATTCTCCGACATTTTTTTTTCACCAAAAAATTTGACGATTTTTTTTTGAAAATAAAAAACGAAATTTTTTTAAATGAATGGTCTTTGATTGTCGTAAATATTAAAACGTCAGTTTAATAGATCCTATCCAGGGCGGGTGGCTAGTAATATAAAATATACATTCAAATAATACGATGTAGCATGATGTAAGTACTTACGTTTGTGTGCATACAGTTGTAATACAGCTCTCGCGAGTAAGTTAAAAACTAAATTTTCCGTGTTCCTTTGACTTGTGAGATGGGGCTGCGCTGCTAATCTTAGAAATGGTATTCTCATGTAATCAGACCCTCTGTTTTTATTATAAATCTCTTTGAGACAGTTACTAAGAGGAAAGTTTGTAAATTTCTCATCTGAAAAATGTTCTAAACGCATTTTATGATAACAGCATGGCATTAAGATCATTGCCTTTGCATCAGGCATTTTTAAAAATATATTCATTCCGTCAACTGTCAAATCTGCACAAGAATGAAGACCAGTTATACAAAATCCGTTGTTATTTGGAAATTTGTCTTTCAAAAATTCTTCCAAATTTATATGGGACTGTTCGGTTACTCTGTGTTTGATGTATTTTACGTACCCGGTTGAATCACTGTGATATTTGTTTTGGCGTTTTTTTGCTCCAACGTAGTGGTTCTCGTTACATTCTAAACCCAGTACGTTGTACTTAGTCATATCGAAAATGACTTGATCAAGATATCCCTGCAACAATTATTGTTAAAGTCTTGTTTTGACTGCCTCGATAGTCTGATAGTCGTAAACGCGGTTGCTGATATCATGAGGACAGGACGTCTTAGTCCTGGGCTCGAATCCGTGATTGGGCCGAAATTAGAAAAACCCACACTGTCAAACAATTCTCAGTGGCTTCGAGGAGTCAGGAAGTTGGCGGTGGTCCTGCGCCTGATTTCTCTCCACTCGTGTCGCATAACCGTCCCATCGGACTCACACATAGTGTTTACGCTTGCGCACACACTCATGTACTATAATCCTGACCTGCGCAGATAGATATTACTGCGGAGACCTGCGAAGACTGGCCGCCCGACTGACTGAAATTCGGTCTGGAGGATATTATTAGAATATACACACATGGTAGAGCCATGCTGTAGCTATATTATGGTTATAGGACAAATTGGTCGCCTCGACCGAGAAAGAAGCACTCTCACATAATACCAGCGTAAAATAACAGCTTAATGATGCTGTGTTGCGTATGGAGAGTGTATAGAATCTGAGACGCTTTTACCGGAAAGGAGGCATTCCATCTTAGTTCTTCAGGGATGACAACGCATCTGCATTTGATTTCTAATCAAGGATATATAGAGATGCCTATGGGCCTTACCATCCACTTACCATCATGTGGACTGTGTGCTCATTTGTTACTCTTAATCTATAAAAAAGAAACCTATCAAGAAAGTAGAAAAGAAAATACCGCCAGTAATTATCATTCGACTAAATCGTATAACGGCTGTCTGTTTCTCGTCTTAACAGTTCGACTGTCCGCGTGACACAATAGTAAAGCAATTGAAATGTTCATATATTATTCATCGGATAGGGAAAGGATTATATCGATATAGTTCCTAGATAGATATAGGGTTCCTAGATCGATAGAGTTCCTAGCACGGTCATGGTATGACCGTGCTAGGAACGTGTCAGGCAAATAAGTATTATTTGTATTGAAAAGTATGACACTGTTCCCACTAGACCGTTCCGTCACCGACCAACACCGTCGCGTGCCATGCACGGAGCGTCAACAAATGTCGGCGAGAATATTTTGCCGGCGCTGACACGCTCTGTGCATGACTCGCGACGTTGCCAAGCCGCTGCCCGCAGGCGGCGAGCCGGCGAGTATACGGGTTGTAAACGCGTATAATGACCGTTATATAGGCGTTGTAAGCGCGTTGCCGTAACTTTTTCTGACAATATCATTTTCAATTTTTTCAGCAAAACATTAAATTGGAATGTAGACATTCGGAAATACTGAAAAAACTTTTCTTCATCATCAACTAAGTGTCCGAATAATGTCCAATATTCTCCTTCGGTTTTTTCGTTCTTTAGAATCGTGAATCCAGTAGCGCCGAGTTTTTTTTGTTTTCTTCTTCTTCCTCATCTAATATTAAAGCAATCATCGCCAGTTGTCTAACAGTTAATTTTCTGATAGCCATACCTATTTTACAATTTAAAAATTTGGTAGCACTCCAAGACGTCCACGCAACACTGTTACGCATGCGAGAATGAAACGGATTCCTATTGGTTTTGATGGATGTTACATACGGGCATCATACGGGTTACATACGGGTTGCATACTGGCATCATACGGGATGTATACGGGCACAGAACGCAGTCGATCCGTTCAGTGGGCATAGTAGAGCGTATCGTGTTGCTTTTCGTGCCTGATACGCTCTTAGCACGGTCATGGTATGATACGGTGTAGTGGGCAGAGACCTTTATCCTTTACAAATTGTATTCATGTTTTGTTATTAATAATAAGTATAATAAGATAATAACTGCACGCTCAGACACCTTCACAGAGCTTTAAACTTCTTAATGATATAACATTTTTTATAGAATGGTGTGACAAACGGGCACACAGTCCACCTGATGGTAAGTGAATGCTGTGGCCCATAGCCATTTACATTTATCTTCGATTAAGAATCTAAATGCAGATGCGTTACCCCTGAGGACTAAGACGGAATGCCTCGTTTCCAGTAAAAGGGATCGCCGATTCTCTACACTCACCATACGAAATACAGCTGCATTAAGCTAATATTTTACGCTGGTATTCTGTGAGAGCGTGGTCCTTCGCCATACACAACACACATATCTTTAAATTCACATTATTAAACAAAACTAACTTACCAATCCCGAACCGAAATCCACAACCGTATTGCATCCAATTTTATTGCACAGTTTTCCAATTTCATTGGCTAAATAAACTATTTCGTGTTTCTTTTTCGGGCCCAAAGGAACTTCGATTGTATACTCTATATTATTCTGGTAATCTATAAAATCATGATTAGCCTGTAACTTGTCCAGTTTGTCAAAGAAATTCATTAAAAAAACATTATTTTCTGCTTCAGTTCGAAGGTTAAAATCGTCTTCATATACATCAACGGTTTTAAGATTTTCAATGGGTATACTTTCTAAAACTCCTTTTACAAGTATATCCGTATTTGCGAAATTAAACAAGTGTTGATATTCTTCGAAAAATATAGTGCATTGCTCGAAATACTGCTCAAAATGGGCGAAATGTTGCGGTAGAGTCATTTGAAGGTAGTCTGAAATTTTAAAACAATCATTTATAAATGATCTTTCAACATAGTTGTCTAGATTCAGCAAGATATAATACCTTTGAACAAACTCCCACATAACATCTTGGAGCTTCTGATTATTACAAAGCCGTACGGAAACTTCAAGTGTGATGTGACTTTAGTTGTTGTTTTATACATGCTGCAGCTAATATTAGTAGTATAGTTGTAGCACGAATGGGTCGGCTCGACCGGGGAAGGACCACGCTCTCACAGAATACAAGCGTAACATAGCAGCTTAACACTGCTGTATTTCGTATGGTGAGTGTAGAAAACCGGAGACCCTTTTTACTGGCAAAGAGGCATTCCATCTTAGTCCTCACGGGTGACAACGCATCTGCATCTTGAGTCTTTATTGAGGATAGATGTAGATGTCTATGGGTCACAGTAACCACTTACCATCAGGTGGACTGTGTGTTCGTTTGTCACCCTATCCTATAAAAAAAGCGTATAAGTGATGCGGTGAAGGCGCCACCAAAATACATAGATCAATGAATGGTTATACTATTTCAACTTTGTCATTGTTATTTCGTCCCTTCAGATTATCATAATTCCACTAGTGTACAGATCTCTTCACAGATAGTATACATCGACTCCCCGCCAGTTTAATAAAACAGAAGTTCCCAACCATCTTGTCAAGTGTGGCAACTATAGCAAAAGAAAAAACATGGAAGGAAGTCGATGGATTAACTGTTTAAGTACAAATTGTTAAGTATTTTGAGTGACCTGCCTACTACTAATTGAATAGAATAGAATAGAATCATTTTTAATCAGTATATATATATATATATTTTTAATAGGATAAGGGCGACAAATGAGCCCACAGTCCACCTGATGTTAAGTGGTTGCTGTGGCCCATAGACATCTTCATCTATCCTCGATTACGAATCAAGATGCAGATTTGTTGTCACCCGTGAGGACTAAGATGGAATGCCTCATTTTCAATAAAAAGGATATCCGGTTCTCTACACTCACCATACGAAACACAGCAGCGTTAAGTTGCTATTTTATGCTGGTATTCTGTGAGGGCGTGGTCCTTCCCCAGTCGAGCCGACCTATTCGTGCTACAACGAATATAGCTGCAGCATGGCTCTACCACGTGTTAATACATAATACTTATTGAGAGTATTTTTTTTTTACTTTTACTACTCGCTTTCAATTTTTATGAAAACATTTAGAAACAGCATGGTAGCAACCAAATCATTCCCTGGGAATAAGTTAGTCGCTAACATGCTGTATCAATCAGTCATGTACACTTTAGTAGTATAATAACACTTACTAGACAATTTTTGCTTAATAAATAATTTAAACCTTTTGATACATAAGGCTTTTGAAACATTTCTGGGACTTAGTTGTAAAAGCGTATACATTGTCCCATGAAGGAATTACTGACCCTTTAGAGTCGAGTAACTGGTACTTGTATAACTAACTTGTGCTTGTTCCTACTATTTACAGAATGTACATCACTATTTTTAATAAAAATATTTTTGTTTTTGTGTACATACATTAAATTCTCGTAAATATATTGAGAGGACAAAGTTAATATATTTATTTCTTTAAATTTTTCTCTAAGAAATTCCTTCGGACTGTTGTGGCTCTCTTTTGCAAAACAAAGATGATTTAAATGTCAGTCGCATTACCCTATAGTAAGACTCCATATGACATTATGCTATGGAAATAACTAAACTAAATTGATCTAGCTGTTTCAACACATATAAGGCATCTAATCTTTTTTACAGCATATGTTGCAGTACTAAGTTTGCTAGCTAGTTTAGATATATGAGTGCCCCATTGAAGCTTCGCTTCAACTGTAATACCGAGAAAAACAGTGGATTCAACAATGCCCAGCTCCTCCCCATTTAAAAGCACACTGGTTGGCAGTACAGAAATAGGTCTAAAATTAGGTGGGTCCAATGTACTGCCATATTTAAATAAAGGTATAATTTTACTATGTTTGATTAAGCCAGGAAACGCACCAGATTCGATACTAGCTAATGAGGGCATCCACAATATTTTCTGCCACCAGGGCGGCGCCACTTAAAAGTGAGGTATAATATTTGACAGATGTCATAGCGGTGAAGTTATTTTGTTCGAAAAATGTAAAGGTTATTGTTTCTTTTTGTACTATTAGTTATATTTTATATTCATTAGATTAAAATAAATAAACCGAACAACAGATATTCACAAAAGTAGAAAAATAAAAAGAATGTTAAAAATGTGAAAAAAATTAAAGAGCAAACCACTGAGGCATTGTTTTATGTATTAATATAATACTCTAGAAACTGATAAACTTTTATTAAAAACTAACTTCTCAATTAAATGACATTGCGTAACAAAAAACTTTACCTCAGTGTCAACTAGCGACATCTGGTGGCCAGAAAATTATTAGCCGTCATTGAAATGATTAATTCGATATACTCCACACGATATGTTAATGAGCGGCACTTTCCCCATTCCCATCTTGTGCATGTATATTTCAGTAAATTTACGAGAATTTAAGGTACATATGTTCACAAAAACAGAGATACTTAGTTTTAGTAAAAAAAAGTGATATACACTCTGTAAACACTAGGTACAAACACAAGCTAGTGATACCAGTCTCTCCACTCCACAGAGTCAGTAATTCATTCTTGAGGCAATGTATACGCTATTACAACAAAGTCCCAGAAAATATACGAGGTGTCCTCTCTCCTCTCTATTACCAAGTTTAAAAATTTAATTAAACAAAAACTGTATAAAAAGGGATATTATAATATAAATGAATATGTACATGATTGATAATAAACCCAAGGTATAAGGTGGCCGCTTCCAAGCTGTTTCTAAAATAAATTTTGTAAATTTAATCATTTATATTGTTAAATCTATTTTTTTTAAAAAGTACCGCTGGGTTTCTTGCTGATTCTTCCCAGGGCAGAGGATTTTTTCCAAACCAGTGGTAAAGTGAAAAATGACTTTCAATAACAATTACTTGTAATCAATATTGAATAAAAATTATTCTATTCTATTCTACATCGTAAAAGCAGACTATGAGAAATATCAGTATCTTTACATGATCTCAGAGATAATATAACGATGCCATATTACGATAAATTCTTACAAGCCGATTTTTAGTGGTATTTTCATATTTATCATCATCATCATCATTATTAACGCCCTTTAAAAAGTGCTCTGCTGAACACATGCCTTTCCCATCGCCGGATTAAAGTTTTTGATGCCCTACGTATTTATAACTAATGGTGCCCTTTTTTTATTTATTTTGATTTACTAGTAACATGCATTTTTCCATAATACAACATAATTATCCTTTTTTATCAGAAATTTAATATCCGATGCCCTCTAGTGTGCCCTATGACGCCCATTACACTGTAGGTTTTGCTGTCCAGGCCTCTGTCACTCTTGCTACCTGCGTGAAATAATTACCTACAATCGCGAGCTGCCCCAGGGGTAGAACGCAGTCGGGGCTAGCGCGCGCTATACGATTGAATGTTAAAGTTTTTTAACGCTGTTTACGTAAATAATTTTTTGTAAATACTTATTGAAATACTCGTCAAAATAGTTTTTGTTTAGTGTTTCGTATATTTAATTATAGGATAAAATAGTTAAAAAAGTTTTAATGTAATTAAAGAATAATATATAATATTATGTATATTACCTATCTGATAAATTATAATGGCAAAACGTCGTTCCTACTATAATTGTTGGAGGGATGCATGCTTAATGAGCAATTAAAAGGATTTAGATATATCATTTTTGGAATCACCGAAGTATAATGAAAGGTAAATTTATTTCATTTTTTTGTTATATAGGTACTTATAGCGAAAAAATATTTAAGTAATAATTTAACTACAGAAGTAATACCTAAGAAAACTTACAAAATTTAGTTGAAATTTACTTCACTACCCAAGTACCTACTTACATACCTATACTCGTCTTTATAATTAAAATATTTTAAGTTAAAATAACAAGAAATACTGAAATTAAATTGATTTTCAACTAAGTATATTACGATCATATTTCTGTTAGGAATCGTATTTCGGGTTTACTAGTCTACCTATACGAACCAAGCATCGCGATTCCCGACGAATGGCCTTGCAAGTTGCACGCGTTGGGCATCACAGAACTCACATAATAGATATTATAGTCAGTACCTAAGTAACTTACTATTTCACAATGTTTTACTCTTTATTAACAGCCCTTAGCAACCACGGAAAGTCCGTTGTGACGTAGTAAGGAGAAAAGATGCAAAGTAATACAGGCACTCGCGCGCAGCGATAAAGTTTTATTTATCTTGCATGCGCGATTTATCTGATTAATAATAACTATGTAGGCTATTAAAACGTCGGCAAGCAGTCAACATCAAAAGAGTGCAACTTCTGTACGTAGTACTATTATTTATTCTGTGCTGTTTACCACAGAATAAATAATAGTACTACGTACAGAAGTTGCAGTTTTGGGTGTAAGGGGCTCCGCTAAGATCTTGGAGCCCAAGGCAGCCTGCAGGTGGCGCACCTGCTGGACAACGGAAAGGGCTCTGGCGATGCCACTTCTCTGGGATTCGTCCTAGGGGTTCGGGGGTCAGACGGCAGTCGCCCCGGTAATTGGCACTAAGCCACTCAAAAATGGAAAGTAAAAGAAAGAGATATACGTTTAGGACTAGGGCGTCGCCGCATAACGACGCGCATGGGGATCGTCTTAACCCTGCGACAAGTATGCGAGGGCTACCGGGCCCCGTGCGACTCCGGCTAAAGACGTTAGCACCAACTACGAAGATTCGCTTTGAAAATTGGAACATTGGCACGCTTACGGAACGCTCCGCAGAACTTGCGGCCGTACTTGCCAGGCGTAAAGTGGCAGTGGCATACCTGCAGGAGACACGGTGGAAGGCCAACAGGAGCCGGAATATTGGGCACGGCTACATGCTGATCTATACAGGCTCTTCTGGTGGGGAGAACGGTGTGG